TAATCAAAATGAAAGGCTTTTGAAGAATTCGATCCTTCTTATTTCTAAATTTCCCATATTCTAACACATATAAAAGATCTAAATTCTAAATCATCATCTTGTATTGACTAGTGTGGGGGATTTGATCATCAATTATTTTCACAAAAAAAATAATGGTGATAAATTCATATCTCAGATTCATAGCAACGTATCTCTCAACAAATTTGGAACGATGATATTTCCGATCTACATATTATGAATATATATGAACTCTTATTTGTTTCCATCAGCGGCAAATATTGAAATGGAGATATGACCGCCAAATCCAGAGCCAAATTCTAGATTGTCAGCACAGTAGTCATTTCTGCATTTAGTGTGTTTCATGGGATCCACCCAGTCCGTCTGAACAAGAGCCAGTTCGAGACTCTGGCAAGATTTTCATGGCTGGAAGATCAGCAGGGCTTCCTCCTAGTAATGAACTGATGCCATACTGTGCCAGAAAGTCGTTGGAAGCTTACGTGTCTAGCTGGGCGTCTCTGTGTCTGTCTGCGTGCGCGGGTGCGGGTGCGGGTGTGTGCGTGTGTGCGTGTGTGCGTGTGTGCGTGTGTGCGTGTGTGCGTGTGTGCGTGTGTGCGTGTGTGCGTGTGTGCGTGTGTGCGTGTGTGCGTGTGTGCGTGTGTGCGTGTGTGCGTGTGTGTGTGTGGGTGGTGTGTGTGTGTGTGTGTGTGCGTGCGTGTGTGCGCGTGCGTCTTCATGTGTGCCTGCGTGTGTTCGGAGTGGCATCACGTATGTCCGACAAACATGTTAGTCTTGCTTCTGGTCGTTTGTCATCAACTTGCTCCAGCCAACAATGCTGGCAATTGCGTGCATCGTTCCGCCTCTACCACCTGATTGCTGTCAACTTGTCGACGCTGATTCCCGGCTCCCTTGAAGGTCGTTTGGCTTGGGGTGCAGCCACAAGTGCGTGCCTCGCACACCCTGTGTCGGCATGTGACAGTGGGTGAGCACAGTGTGAATCTTGCGCGTTCGGATAACGTCATTGCCGATTCCATGGACTGAATTCGTTGCAATGCCGTTGGGCCACGAAGGCATTCGTACTGGCACGGCAATTGCAAACAATGAGGACAATGAGATGCCTCCTTCAGATACCATCACGCGATGGGTCTTGCTGTATATTGCCGTGTTGAGATAATATCTCTCGGCACTTCTGAAGTCAATCTCCCGATATATCACTTCCAAATGAATCTGGAAGTTCATTGGTGTCCTTCGCTTCTTTTGCTCACTTAAGCCTTTCCCTTCTAAGACCCTACACACCTCAGCATAGGCCTGGCGGCATGCAGTCACTAAAAGTTGACATTCTCGAGCAATCTTGCAGCCGAAAGCAGTTTCTGGCCTCCGTGATCTCTTGAAACTTCAACTTTGCCTCCGTGCCTGGCTGTCAAATCACCGTCAACGAGACTGGAGGCACACAGACCATAAAGAGATGCGCAGAGATCGCCTACACGAAGAAGGCCCCAAAGAGGCGCTGAAATGCAGTCTGGCACTCAGTGCAACATTCGGAGATTCTGAGGGTCAGGCTATCGTGGTTCTTGTCTGGATGAAAGCGCAATGCAAGCTGTCTATAAGCTTTCTTTACGGCTGCTGCTTTGGCTCCAGGCCTGCCAAGCATTGCTGACTCCATAACAAGTTTCACCCTTTCACGAACAGGACCAACAGTGTAAACAGCTTTGAAGCGTCGGGTGGCCTGAGGTTCAGTGTGCGGTAGTACTGCTCCATCTGCTGTGGCGTTGGCTTGGGCTTGCTAGCCTTCTTCTTTGGCTTGATGAAGCCGCTAGAGAAGAAGTAGTTGTAAAGTTCCTGTGGAGGGCAGTGCAGCATCACCGGACATGAGAACTCTGAGCGTATGCTGGGCCTGGTCAGACCATGTCGACTCTGCCTGCAGGGAAGAGAAAATCCGAGTGCAATCCCCTCTTCGAGGACATTTCGAGGACCAAGCAACTCAAACGGTGGCCTCGGGAGGCGGCATCTCGCCACCGTAGCTTGGGAAAGGTTCCATGGCCTTTCGAATCCGAGGCCCAATGTTCTCCTGGAAAAAATGGCATATCATGGGCCCACTTGAGAATCTGACAAGAACAAAAGATCGACTGCCCAAGAATGTGGCTGCTTCCTGATCCTCGGCATCGCTCGGCTCGGGTGTTGGTGGTCTGCGCTTGGCTTGTGCTTGCATTTTTGACTTTGCTTGTGGTCTGGTTGTAGAAGCGTAGCGGGAGTTGACGAATGGGTCGTATGGTGTCCTTAGGCAGATCCGCATGCTTTCGACTGCTGATGGCCTGCTGCCGCTCTACGAGGGCCATGTGGGTAGCCCATGGTAGCCCTCAACTCGAACTGCGGTCTCTCCATGTCTCTCCCTCCTCTCTGCGGGACGACGCCCAAGCCACAACAAAAATGTGTCAAACAAACCACAACCAAAAACCATATAGCCACAACGCACTCCACAACGGGTGCAATATTCCAGAGTTGGGACTCAAAGGACTATGTCATGTGAAATGTCTGCCTCGTCCCACGAATAGCCCCCGGTCGGTTTGATAGACTGCGCCTTCATGTGCGACACTGTGTCACGCCATTTCTTGCTAGCTTCTCTTCGAGGACATTCGAGGACTCTATTTTTCATATGCGGATCCGTCGAATAAAGCATATGGTCAGCGGCGAATTCGGAAACTGAAAAAGCGCGGATTCGGAAACTGGAAAAGCCTGATGCCTGATTCGGGAACTTGGAAAACGCATCTACGGATTCGGGAAACCGGGACTCGGGAAACAAGCTGATTCAGAAACTGAAGAACGCGGATTCGGAAACCGGCGATTCGGGAAACTGGAGATGATTCTGGCAACTGAGCACCGCTGATTCAGGAAACTCGAGCACGCGGATTCGGAAACCGCTGACTCGGGAAACCGAAAGCAGGCTTGACATGAACGTTATCCCCTCTCACCACCCCCCAAACCACCCCCAACCCCGGAGTTTCCTCAATCGCGTGGTTCGCGGTTTCCTGAATCGCGTGAAGGCAGTCTCCTGAGTCGGGCAGTTTCCGGAATCGCCTGGTTTCCTGGACCCTGCTTTCGAGAATCGCCTAGTTTCCTGAATCCTGGTTTCCTGAATCGCAGCCAGCTTCGGGATCGCGTAGGCACCAAAGCATACCGTATCATAGCCGGCATAGCTGGAACTACATTGTCGGGACTGCGAGCCTGGACGTCCGACGTCAAGAAACCACAAACAACCCCTCCCGGCCCCTCCCCCCACTGCAAAATCTCTTCACTAGAGCCACTAACAAATAACAATGTCACCAGCGAAAAGAATGTGTGCGAAACGCTGCTTCGGGGCTGAACAAGGTTCAGCATGAGGGGGTGCTGAACTATTCTTGGGGACTGTCTTGTGTGATTCGCCCCTCAAGCCAAGTTGCTTTGTGCTTGAATTTGGAATGGTTGGTCGAGGTTGCAGGCGCGTTGGCTGAGCAGCTGCACCTTTCAAGGGGCAGGATTGAAGCTAAGCAACTACGAGCATCCCCGCATTCGACCATTGGCACAAGCAAAGGCCCGAGCCACTTAGATCCACTATGGCTGAAGCTGTGCAGAAGGCCTGGCCTGGGTATCGGCCAGCTGGATCGCTGGATTTCAACGGTTGAGCCTGAGCGAGAGTACGGCTCGTATTCATCGCTGATCATCAGCATACTGGAGTTTCAGATCTTGTCAGGGACAATGTGAGATTCAGCTTTGCAAAGTGCCGCTGTCTTGCAGCTTACATGCATTCAAGTGACGGAAGCACGAGTCGGGAGTGTACTTTTGGCAGGAGATGCCGAGGAGGACGCAAAGGTTACATTGTTCGTCGGGGGTGGCGACGCTTTTGTCAAGCCATCCTGCGGCGCTCACATCACTTCTCTCGAATTCTCTTCAGTGCTTCAATCTCACTGTCCCGTGTGAGCAAGACTAAGAAGTTGTGTTGAAAACATGATCTGCGTATCTGCTGCATTTCATCATGCAGCGGTCGCAATCTCAAACTCCAGAAGTATTGACTGTCATGTGATTGTGCCGGGATGCTTGCTCCTGCTAGGTCTTTGGATACCTTCGAGCTTGCACTGGTCTCCCGTACGCCCTCACGGTGGCACAGCATGTCGGTGTGCACATGTGTGCACCTTACTGCGCATTCTTTTGACAAATATATTGACTCTTCTGTCAACATGTGTCCTTCTAGAGCTGGCATGGAGGGTGCTCTGCTAGAGCAACGCCTACTCAAGTTGCACCTCAAGATAGGCTTCTGAGAAAGGTTACCGTGCCCCCATTAAGGGGAGCGGCAAGGGTAGGTCTCAACGTTGGCTGCACGTGTAAGTGTCGGCCAACTGGGCTATGGCTTGCCTTCGGTATGCGTTGGGGATTGTAAGACTTCGCAGGAGTGCTGTGTGAGGCAGCATTAGCGCGAATTTGGCATTAAGCTGGGGAGTGTGGGCAGTTGCACGACGGCAAACAAGCCGGCGCAAACAGTCCGAGTTGTTGTCGACGTGCAAGTGGAACCGACTCAGCAAGATGCACTTGGGACGGGAGCTCTTAATGGTCTGCAGAATCACAAACGAGGAAGTGCATGTTGAAAACAACTGCCAGGGTCCAGGCAACTGGCAAGCACAGAAGCCCAAAAGGTCAAAAGGTGGCCAAGCGACGTTGGGTCTGTCATTCGTCGGCCAAGTGATCGCAATAAAACTCGCTCAGTGATGCGGGTGTCTTTTTTAAGGTGTAAGATCGGTTTGCCACTCACGGTTTGGTTCGGGGCCCACAGCAAGTTTTGGTGTTTAGAGTTTGCCACTCGCCACGCATCTTCATGTCGGCTCACGCCTTCCAATGCTTCAATGTGTTCATGACACCGGCAATCAGAAGCCTTCCCTAAGGCAAACCAAGCCTACGAAAGCACGAACATTTGCCGAAAAAGGTTTTCCTGCTGCACAGCACGCGAAAAAATGCCCTCGAGAGCATGCTGGCCGGCAATGCCTGTCCACATTGGGAGGATTCAACATCGGGCCGCACTGCAGGCACCCGCTTCAGTTTAGTTTCGTGCCTCATGTCCATGCTTTGAAAATTCATTGCAGACTTCTTCCTAACCCTCGCCCGACAGCATGGGCTGCAGATTCTTCTGCTCGTGGTGATTGATTTCAACATGTTGAGGAGGCCGAATAACTAACAAGAAACAGAGCTGGTCTGTCCTGTGGGGTGCGTCCTCGAGGTACCTCCTTCTTGAGAACCGGCCCTGAGCCTGCCGGCACGAGCTCCGTGGATTGACCTTGCTGTCCCATCGAACCAGCTGCCCGTTCGAGAGGTCACATGTCACTCTGATACACCTATGGATGGCCAACACGTTTTCGGAGCTTGCGAACAGTCGTGCCGTCGTGGTCCTCTTTTGCAAAATATGCGGCCAGGTTACTTGTGGGAATCTCCGCAGGTTCGCTGGGGGTGGAGTCCACCTGTACAGAGATTCAGTAATTTTGACAGTGAGGTGCAAAGCACACAATCAGTGGACCCAAAACCAGGAGTACGAGGACCACCATGCCTTAGGAAGCTCACCACTTGTCGAAGGTGGACCATGTTCCTCAAAGTTCTGCGCATATTCCTCGGCCCGTGCTCCGTGTGGATAATATCTTAGCAGGGACCCAACGCCAGGCACTGCACTCTTCGGCAGGCTTCTTGTTCGTTGAGCTCGCCAAACATCGCAGCCTTGGTGTACAATTCTTGTTCATGTCCTCTCCTTCTGACCATGGTTGCCTGCGTATGTTTCTGCATACTGCTGGATCGCTTTTCTTAGTAACCTTAATGTCGGTTTAAACGCATGACGAAGCTGTTGCATGCTGAACAGCCTGCTTGTGTCACCGACCCAAAGCTGCAATTTACTGATGCTCGCTACCTGCCCGAGCGAAGCAAGGCAGCTCACAGTTCAAAATATGGCGAACTATAACGATGCGGAACATCTTAAAACTGCGAGGCACATGCAAACACATGCAATACTGCGAAACACTTCCCTGTTCAATCAGATGCCATTCTGCCACGATCGTCGTAGGTGCAGTGTGTCAGTCTTGTGCTACTCATGAAGGCGTGCCCCTGGCTCGCATGCCTAGGGTTTGGAATCTCAATATGATCGCGACAGACCCAGTGCACGTGTCCCAGAAAACAACCGGCGATCTTGAGCTGTGGTCAGCTCAGCTGAACATTTCTTGGCATGTCGCGGTTACTGGGTAAATTGTGTTTGCTTAATGTTTTGGCTGGCGTGCCCACCTCAGCTCTTCCTCCTTTCCTTGAGAAACTGACGAGCCGTGACAAGCCAATCTTTCGGGGCTTCGGAGTGGTCGCCATGGTAGCTGGGTCGGAGGCCATGCTTGTTTGATCCGTGTGCTCCAACGGCTCTTCTGCAGAAGTGGCCTCATTACCTTGGGTCATGAGTCATGACACCAGTGACACAACTTGCATCATTCCTTATTCAATTCAACTGCAACTGATTGGTTCATCCGTCTCCAAATCCCGCAAGCTGCATAGAAGAAGCAGCGTAAAACTGTCAGCAACTATTCCCCTAAACATGACCCTAAAACCCAATAAGGTCAACAAGGAACAAACTTAAAGCATCCCAAGATCCAGATTCGGCCGCCTTAAGCACTAGCTGTGTTTCTACCCATCGGATATTTCCGAGATCGATGGTGCCTGCTCTGACGATCATCGTCACTGAAAGTACACGGAGCTGCAAGTATGCACTTAACGTGCCCTTTAAGGCGTTTCTGCACTGAAAGCCGAGGCGCTGGGTGGAGCTGCCTCTGGATCGGTGGCTGGACAGCTTTCTAGCAGCTTGTCTTCCGACCTTCCTGATGGACTCTTGTATCTCTTGTTCGGTGCCTCCGGAAGCTCCGACACTTCCGGCTCCTGGGGAGCACTTGGCTCGGAGGTGAAGGACGCCTCAAAAGCTGGCTTCGCAGCCTCCGTCGATTCTTCCTGACCAGTGGCAACTGACCAAGAGAAGCATTGGGACACAAGCCAGATCTGCAGCATCACGGATGACGTCGTGTCCAAGAGAAAACGAACAAGATGAACAAAGCTCAGGACACAGCCTGCAATTGTGGCTCTTCATCATTGATGTCTTTCTGCGACTCACCTGCCTCCATGTCAGCCTGACACCCACAGTGAGTGCTACGCTGCCGCTTTGCATGATTGCCGTGCACATTGCGCGTGCAAAAGCTGGCGGCACAAACCTCTGTCATCTTCTCTAATCCGTCGTTTGGCGGGCTCTTCTTGACCGGGCTGTCTGGGAGCGATGAGACATCCACACCTAGATGTCAATGCATGTCAATACAGTCAATGCAAATCTTTCAGCACGCAATACGAGAAACACGTGCTGGAGAAGTGCTCATGAGTCCTGAGGGCTTCGCCTGGATCGTGGGTGAAAGTATCCTCCGCCTCGCTCATTGAGGCTTGTCTGGGTGAAGTCTACACATGCTTCCACTCCCTGCAAGTACCCACCCGACAGGCAGAGAACGATCACCGTAATACTCACCCAGTGCCTTCTCAGGGTCATCGGCGTGTACGGTGCCGGCCTCCTGGGGCACAACTGCGAGTCCGACATGAACGCCGATAGGCAGACCACCGGCATTGAGATGCAAAATGCATGCTGCACTTGCCTCAGCTTTGGCTGGCGAGTCCTGTCCAGTCCAACTGGGCTGTCAATGCAGCTCCAAGCTTCAACACCAAACTTCGATCAACGAGTCTCCTTGCCAGCAGACCCCAGATGCTGGGCAAGCAGCTCAGCCACCTGTCCCATCATCGTTAACTTGCTTGCGCTGGGCTCGGAGGGAATGCGTACGCCATGACTCTCTACCGCACAAGGCCTCTCTGTGGCCTTCGCACTCTGCCAACCCGAGAGCCGTCACACCCACCTTGTCACACTGATTATCGCTGATTCTAAAGCACTGTAAGGCTGGAGATCTCACATGTCTTGCAGAATGAAGGAGGCATAAGTAGACCGTGATAGGTTCGACCTTACCGATCTGCGGCAGCAGTAACAGTGCAGGATGCGAACGTTTAGAACATGGCGGCGTAATTGCAGTACATTGCGCTGCCCCCCCTCTTCCAACTCTCACTGCACGCTTGCCATGGGCCTGCCATTGGAAAACTCTGTGCTAGTTGTATGATGTAGCCATGCATACTTCAATGATACTTCGATGATAACTATGGCCAAACAAGCTCCAAACCTTGGTGCCGTGCTGTGCTTTCGTGGGAAGCATCTGCGCGACCCTCCAGCAGCAGCTGACAAACCTCCCATGCAGAGGTGGAGCTTGGACTCATGACACAGGATCTCCCGAACTTGATATGCGCAATATTGCGCAATGTAATAATATACTAGGTGTTTCGTCGTAGCATCGGGCATCGGGGATTCTGCGGCCTCAAGGTCGCCGTAGCAGGCAGCTTCGATAAGAGGTGGCTCGCCAGAAAGATCAGCCGCATTCGGATCAGCCTTCGCCTTGTTTAGGGCTCATACTCAACAGTTTGCTTCTTGGAGCTCTTTTTTTGTCCTGCAGGCAATACACTGAGGCCAAGCACTTCGAGCAGCTTGCGCATTGGGCCTGATCAAGCAACCACACATGCTTGGGTGCTGAAACTTCCGACGAGTATCTGACTACGGAACATGCCCCGGTTATCACACGCACCCCGCAGACATACGCCCGGGCCCGTGCATGCAAACTGGTGAGAATGCTAGGGCTTGCTGCCGGTAAATAGGTCCTCATGAATTATTCTTTGCTGGATGAGAAGACACCCGGGCATTCTCGATTGAGACAGACTTCGTTGCTGCGCCCTGCGGCTGTTTTTGCTCAGTCGCACACGAAGCCATGGACCAGCTGGTGAGGCATCGCCGGGCCGTTCCATGGCAGCACGGCAGGCGAGCCTCGGCAGTCGTGCGCGTGAGCATTGTGCGCATGTCGTGACTGTCGAGGCATTGCAGGGGACCTTCGACCGGAAGCGGCCTTGCTACTTTTAGTCCAATGCATCAACCACTCTTGTCTTTTCTCGATGCCTCGGATCAGCTTGCATCTTTACTAAGTACACGTTTTCTGTGAGGCTGGAGCTGTCTATAGCTATGAAATGCTGTAGATGGTGCACTCAGTCAACATGCTGACATGCGTACAAGTGCTGGACATTAGCGGCGTTTCGCCCAGCAGGTTCCGGCAATCAACCTGACCAGGGCGACCGCTGGTTGTTAAATAGCCAGAAAACCCAAGAAGCCATAGCCCAAACTCCGCACCCGGCCGAGTGAGCCCTGTACTGTACCGTTTGTAATCCCTATACTCCTCCTGCACCGGGTGCTTCGAAAGCGATGCACCCTACTGTAAGACCATCCTACACGAAGTGAGAACCAGCACCCGCACCCAGCTCTAGCACTGGCAGCCCATCCAGGCCCCCAATTCTCGCGTGCATCGTGGTGCTGCCTCTGCCCGGAACTGCAAAAGCAGGGCCACAGTGGCAAAGACGCGGTCGCTGGGGGGTGTCATGACAGCCAAATGCCTCAGTCAGGACTCGCGACATGTACCGAACAAAAGAAGCTTGAACTCTGGTACACGTACGCGTCCCAATACAGTTTACCTCACCCCGCTTTCCAACTCTGAAAGTTATGCTTCATCATCGCAGTCCGAATAGTTACATGTCAAGGTCAGAGGCCAGGACAACAGGGTGAAGCCGTCATCATCCCGCATGGCTGTGGCAGCCTGCTTGTTCTCCAGGGCCTGCCAGATGCGATTGCTGGTGGCTTTGGCATCTTTGGCATCTCTTCGGCCCATGGACCAACTTTGCACGCGCCTTCAGTAGCTGCCGAGCTCGAGGAGGCTCAGCACCCCGGACAGCGCTCCACAATGCCGATAAAGTGCCCTGCTCCATGTCCTCGCAGCATGCACGACCAGTGCCGCCTTCAAGAGTTTGACAGCAAAAGCTGACAAGGGCCATGTCGCTCAGTCCTGTCCCTTCCATGTTCTTGCCTGAGCACCCTTTGATGGCACGGCTGGCTCCCCTGGCTCAAACAGGTGGTATGCTCTGCAAGCCTTTGCATGCCCGTGGCCTTCAGAGGATGTTCGCGCAAGATCGGGCAAGATTGTTGTCCTTTTCCGGTCGTCCTCCTGGTCAGCCGTGGCTGACGATTGCCGTTCCTGCCAAGACAGTGACGAATACACTCTGCGACTGTCCGTTTTTTGACTGCAAAGCTCCCGTGTGATCCGAAGCGCTGAGTCGACTGTCCTTGTGGAGGTCTGATTCAAGACCCTGGGGAACTTGTGGCTCCTTCGCGCAGTCACGTCCAATGACGGAACTCAGAGACAGGCTGTGGAATGCAGATGCCAGCGTCCGTACACCAGAACAAGGTTTTCGTGTGGGTCCTCTGTTGAGGCAGCATCTTTGTGCGACCTTGGATCCTGAGAAACGAACAAGCTGCAATAATAGCAGAGCATAGACTAGTGACTAGTTGTTCTCTTTCAGCAACCTAAAACGCAGTCCTCTTCGTCGGAACTCTTACCGCCAGATACCTCATTCTCGCCAGTCTCCTTTTGTCTCAACTAGAAATTTCCACTGCCACTCAATCTGTGAGTTCGCATGGCACAGGGTCCTGCAGCTTTTGCCGGAGTTTTGACTGCCTTCGAAACCACTTTTCGATGCCGACGCTCAATGTAACAAAGAGTCAGTAGTTGTGCTAGTACCGTGGCATGTCCTTGTGTGTACTGAGCTGACCCAAGGCCGGGAGGAGTGACGAAGGCTGCCGAAGAGCACGGAGTAGCTGCTACGGTAGCACTGCCGATCCAAATCGGCTCTGGAGCCCCCGGCTTTGCAACGCACGTCATCTCGATAAAATCAGCGGCGCGCATGTTGTTGAGGGTAGTCCTCAAAAATGCACTGGCGTTGACGCAAGAATCCGAGGCCGGAGGCCTGAGGATACACGACACTGCCACCCCCCTAATCCCCCCATCCCCCCCCCCCCCCCCCCCCACCATCCTCCCCAACCCCCTTTCCGTCTACTTTGAACACAACCTACCCCTACCCCTACCCCGCACACCCCCGCCTACCCCCCCTTATTCCACGCGAACCCTTCATTCGCCTCGGACCCTTGCCGGTTAAATTATGGCGCCGAATCCCCTTGATCACAGCTACAGGTCATGCCGTCACTCTCCTTTTGCCCAGCAAAAGCAAGTCAGCTATCGTCCCGAACTCGCCTAATTTCCTCCACAAGCATCTGCTGGCCAGAAATCGGGCAGTGGCCATGCTGCTGCACATGAGGTACTAGGCAAGTGTAGCAGAAAGCATATCCGCTGCAAGACATAGCCGGGTTTTGGCGTCGGCGGTGACACAGGGCGCAGATGGCTCTGTCCTCTGGCAGAAGAACTAGTTGGCGCCGAGACCCCTGGGACAGCGGACCGCCTAGGCTTTCTGGATATGGGTATGGCTCAGGCGGTGGGGGCGGCGCCTGCCGCGCTTGAAGTGGTTGGAGAATTTGCTCTCGTTGATACCACCACTGCAGGAATTGAAGCAGGTAAATCCCACCCCAAAGAGAACCTTTGCCACACATCACCAAGAGGTCGCGCGCTCGCGTGGCCAGACTTTTGCCAGCTTCCTCTTCTTCAAGTTGACCGGGAGGCTCAGGAAAGTGTCGCACAAGCCGCAAGCCCAGCAGATGCAACCAGGGTGACCAAATTCCCGTTTGTTCAAGCAGGTACAGAAAACGATATGCGAAACTTAAGCCTGCGCTTGCAGCATGCATTGCTGGAAAAAAACGGTGGAGTGCAACATCGGCTGGGCTTGTGGTTGTGGATGGCCTAAATGACTCCAACTGTCTGAGCCGCTCCTCGCCCTTCGCCCAAACCCATGGCAGCACTACCGCTACAATCAGGGATGCTGCCCGTTGTTTGGTGTTCAGAGGCGGGGCATCTAATCTACGCCTTGCCTTTTCCAGGGCTTCCAGTGGCAGCATCCGTTCCGATTCTGGCTCCTGCCGTCTCAACCCGAAGAAATGCTCGGCAAAGGTGGCTCCATGCACTCTCAGGTGGTACCCTTCCAGGAAAAGAAGGAAGAAGGTGTAAACGGCTTGCCAGTATTCCAGAAACGGCAGCAAGCCTCGTGGGGCTCTCTCTGAGACGATCTCGACAAAAAATCTCAGGGCAGGTCTGAACACGTCTGCGAGTTGATCTTGCGCAATAAGCTCGAAGAAGGTAGGCCTGAATATGTTCTTTCCGGCATAAATGCTGGTTAGGAAGCCTTCGTAAGCCATACGGATCGCCCTTTGCCAGCATCTACTCAGCAAGCTTGTTTTTCATCCCATGCCGCGTGGACCATAACTGCAAGTGACCACAAGGCAGGCCCATTTGGGGTATGATCTTGAAGACCTTATTGCTAAGCAAGCTGCCAACTGTTCGTATGCATTGTTCTTGCGAGCTGATGTTTGATGGAAACGGCTGCAAACAAGCACAAGCTCCGAACTAACTCCTTGTACAAGAGCCCATTTAATGACCCAAACCGATCTTGAAAGGGCATCCGCACAATTCGCAACCACAGTGATGGCCTCATGGGGTCTGCTCGATACTCAAGGAGCAGGTGTACAGCCTCATGGCATCCTGCACAAACAGCCTGCCAGTGGCTGAGAGCAAAAGACCCCTGCTCCGTGTTGATAAGGACCGGAAATCGTTTAGCAAGACACGTCTTACAAGTTGGCCGACCTTGGGCCTAGACTTAAGGCTCGAATCAGCGTCGGAAACGTCAGTCAAGCACCACGGCTGCATGCACAACAACTTCGCAGTTGACTGCAATTGACGCCAGCTGAGATTATCTGAGACTAGGCGAAGCTGCGTGCTGTGCGCACGAAACACACAAGAGCCTGCTGCCTCCATGAGTGGCGTTTCGCCCAACGGCTTGTCTGCAGCATCCGGGCAGGCCCTTGCCTCCAATAGGATGCGGCAAGGACCTGAACAAATTCAGTCGTGATCGACGCGCGGGATGGAGATAGAGCCGATTACGTATCAGGTCATGTCTTCGCGCAAGAATGTGCAAATTTTGAGACATCTCCTTCATTCGCAACTGACATCGAGCAAGCGACCAAGGTCAACTGCTTCTTCGCTCACCTCAGCTGCAAGACCCAGAGATCTGGAACGGGCATGAAGCCAAAGTCATTCAACAACTGCATCTATCTTCTGGATCAGGAAAGCCAGGATGTGTAGTGTTGATGCTGAGTCCTGCTTTTGTTCGTGTTGCTGCTCGACTTCAATTGTCTGCCTGTGGTTCGGTTTTCTTATTGCGGCTTCGTTGACTTGCGTGCATGAAACATGGCAGCTCTGGCTCTGAAATCCAAGGCCCCTTCCAATGCACTACGAAGTGCCAACATCAGGGCGGTCTCACCAACTTTGTTTCTGGCATCAATTCCTGGAAGGCGGCATGTCTTTGGTCGCTTTTGCACACTGCTGTGGTTGCTGATGCAGTAGCAAGGCAGCCCGTCACAAGGGCCTCCGCTTGATTCGCCAATGCACTGAGCCTGGCAAAAAAGACTCTTCACCAAAGCCTGGTTGCATGCCGCAACATGGAAAGACACCGACAGCAACTGCAGTCATGCACCTAGCCACCACAACACATAGCCACACCACATTGCGCACCTCACGCACCAGTAACTCCAAAGCCACCTCGGCTTCTGCAAGAGCTTTGCCAATATGCCCCATCCAGCCGAAAACAAGTGCAAGCAATGTAGAACCGCCGTAACTATGGCAACTATGGTCACAGGGCCAGCATTCAATCCGAGAACCCATCTGGAGAGACGGCGAATAGTTTCTTTAACCTCTTGGCCTGTGTAATGGGGCATGTATCTGCTCAAGACAGCCCTGAGAACCTCGAAGCAATGCTGAGACACACTGAGACAGGGGCTTCACGCGTGCTTGCTGGCAAGTCTGGCGTTGCCGCAATGAAGTGCAGAAGGGACTGCCTGGAGTTCTAAGGCAGTCAGGCGCAAAGAACGTTGGGAAATATTGAGAATGCAATTTCTGCAGAGATGGCCAGATGCAATCTGCTCTTTTCCTGGGCGCAGAGGTCTTGTGAGAAGCATTCTCCTTAAGAGGAAGCCTTGCTTTGCGCTCTCTGCGTGGTGCTCGTAAGTGCCTGGATCCAATCAGAACGTTTTCATAGCTGATGTGCTACGCACATTCGGGGTGAAGCTGCCTTCAAGACTGGATCCGGACAGGTTGTGGCAGCGTTCATGTACAACTAGCAACGATTGGCAGGAATCCTTTCGCCGCGCTAGGTAGCGGGATTTAGACTCCTCTGTTGCCCTGAATTCACCCTCTCTGCTTCCTCATGTCACACTCCAACTATGATCTCAGCTTTGGTATGGAAGTGTCCAGCCACCGGAAGCTTGCAAGCTACGCACTTTTCAGACCTCATCAGACCTCGCATGACCTCACTATCAAAAGGAGAACATGAGGTTGTCAGAGCTGTGGTCACCCAGCAAGCGTACTTCCATCAGCTCGAAGAGCCTGGTGCACTAGCAAAGTTGGGCCATTCTCTGGTTCTCTGGACAGTGTCACACCGTTGACCATGCGAAGTGTACAACTCGTGGAAGATTTTTCATGTCGGGGAGTTGAAGACGATTACGTCTTGCTAAGCTGTCGGCATCCATCGTGTGTGATTTACGGTGCTACTTGTAAGACATGATGGCCATGCCGGACACTCCCAGAGGAGCACGCCGTATAAGGAGCACGTTCTATGTCCTATGTTGCAACGTCAGCCTGAGGGAAGGAACCCTCGTTGCTAGCTGCAAAGTCAGGTGTTGAATGCAGCTTCTGCCAGGGAGACTAGTGCCCGAAATCAACAATCACTGGAGCCTCCCTTTGACCACCTATCCAGGCATGCGGTTGCTTAAGTACGCCATTGAAACCACTCATTTTCGAAGCGGCTGCAGGCTTTCTGGAAAGCAACGATTCCAAGCTCAAGAAACTCCTATGGCCACAGCATTCCAGTCAACACTATAAGCGGTGCTTAACTTCTTCAGTGATGTCCTGCCTGTCAAAGGGCTGCGTGTCATTCTCGAACTGCTGCAGAATTGCATTGTTGGCGAGCGCCTGGTACGACGCATCTCTACATCATTGGTGCTCGCACAGCTTTGGGCTCCAGTGGGAGGGGGGGCGGGGGGGGGGGCTCAGGCGCAAGGGGTGCTTAGCGTATGTTGATTTGCGCATTGAGTGCAGCCACTCGCAGCAGGGGAGGAGTTCTGCCTGCCGCTCCTGGAAGAGGAGCAGCTGGTCCACCTGACCAGCACGACCAGCACTGCACTTCTCATGTCTCGTTCTTAATCTCTTTCATACTCTTTCATGCACAGAGCATGCCCAGGAACGGCGATTTAGCCAACGCTGCGGTTCAGTTCAGAGCAACTCCTGCCCAAAGCGGTCGCTGGCCTCTGCTTGGTTGAGCTCAAGGACACCTTCGGACTCACCACGTTGAGTCTCCAAGTTTCCCAGCACCTGGACTGGACAAATCCAGGAGGATTGTGCCGTGGTTTCGTTTCAGCGTGCCGTGTCCTGCCTGCTGGGTAGAGACCAGTAGCTCCTGAGCTGCTTGTCCGCGCATCCCACACCAAATCGTGCATAGCGGCAGGACGCACTCTGCTCGGGGCTCTTGACGGCTCCACTATATAGAGGCTTCATGGGGTGTCAAAGGGGTCGCAGCCAGAGGTTCGGTTTGCATAGCAACCTCCTTCTCTACACGCTCGGCAAAGGCGACTTCGAGCTCCTGCAAAAACAACTTGATGTGCTGTAAGTGTAAAGCAGATTTGCTACAAAGGCACCATATCTTGCCAGCAAGCACATCAAACAACACATGTTGCAGTTCCCTAACAGAACTGTTGTGAAGATACTAGATCGGAGTTGCACTTTGGTTTACGGGCAGCACTCTTGGAAGTCTCACTGCGCCAATCCGTCCTGCAATTGAGCTTGCGTCTGTCCGATCTCTACATCAAATTCATCAGGCAGGTCCACCTCTTGCAGCTGTAAGCCTGTCATTCCATTCATTCCGCAGTCTTCCAGAATTTGCTTGAGCTGCTTGGGCAGATGCTGGCGAAGATCTCCCTTTTGGACGGGATTCTGATACCTCAGGCCTTTGATATTCGCTTGTAGACCCTTGTCTGGAAGTTGAAAGTTTCGCTCCAAGTCCTGCAGCAAGCACCGCGCAATTACCGACGGCCCCAAGCTCAGAATCAGACTACGTAAGTGACTCTGCAAGTTTGCCATTCGGACTGCTGCTCCGGCATCCTCCAACATTGCCGCAATGATGATCGTACGGTTAGTGAAGTACATGTCCGCCGGGAAATGTGAACCTGAATGCACGAGAATCAGTGGAGGCAAGGACGCTTCACCGGGAGACAAACTTTGAAGTTTGGACTTGCTGTTCACGCGGGTACAAGCACTGCTTCTGCAAGTCATCATTGGCCGATGCGGCTGAAGATGCAGCTTGGGAACATGTGCTTATGATTGCAGAACGCGCAAACCGCACGAAGGCATCATCATAGCCCTCCTCACCCAGCAGGTAGTACAGCGGGTTGAGGGCCTGCGAGAAACAATTCTCAGAACCAAAACCTAGAAAAGCAAAAAGTGACTAAAGATAAGTGGCATCACATCCGAGCAACCATTAGCGACGGCTCAAGACACCCCCAATCCTTTGTGTCGATATGAACCGACTATGTCTGACTATGTCACAAACAGAAGTCGCAGTCGCCTGCGGCTCCAGCTTCCACTGGAAGCTTACGGTGACCTCTCGTTGTGGTGCCCAGAGAAGTCTGACGCAACAACACAAGGCGAGAAACCCAGACAGACGGAGAGAGAGAGAGAGAGAGAGAGAGATTGAGAAGGAGACACGGAGGGAGTGAGACAGATTCTGTTCCAGTCGGTACTCTCTGAGGTCGCCGACATACATCTCAAGCCCATCAGCAGAGCGAGCGCGGATGGGAGGCTTGACAATCGGTGGGAAGGCGCTCTGGGAAGTCGCCTCTTCAGAGTGCAGCGCGGTCTGCAAGCTCTGCAAGCTCTAGCCCTGCAGCTTAGCATCTGAAATGCACCCGGCCTGCACACCTTGTGTGGAAACAGCGAAGTACATGGTCTGAAAGGTCGATGGATATTCCAGCAGGCTGTTGCCCAGACCGATGAACCTGTAGAGGTGAAACCGTTAATACACACAGCGTTCGCTTGTACACATACATACATAAACACGTAAATACAGAAATACATGAATACATATATACATATAGATATTTGAGGTGCGTACTCCGCCGAGCATTGCAAGCAGGAAATTCAATGAGTTCAAGACTTTGCCTGGTGCACATGTCTGTTGCTCTTAGGTCGCCACTTCATTCCAGCTTCCGTTTCCTCACGTACCCACAGCAAAGACGTTGGTTCTATTCTTGCAGATTTCAACGGAACATTGCTGAACAGAAGCTTCTGCTCCAGAGAACTCCAATTGCAGCACAGATGCGGGCTCTTCCAAAATGCTTTGGGACAGCCAAATCCTGATAGCGTGTTCACTATGACAGCCTTCTGGGAAGATCAAGAACCCAACGTAATAAGGATGTTGTAGGCACTGGGCAAATTCACTGCATACTTTCCCTGCTCCATGGACCTCGGACAGGCCAAATTGTTCAGATGGCGAAGCTGCACACACAGAACCATGGATGTTTCTGTCCAGGAGCCGAAGGGACAGAATAGCAGCCTCAGCCCGGCAAAGCTTGCACAAATCATGAGACAACGGCACAGACTTAATTTGACGTGACCGGCTGCAGGTTGAGCTCCGAACGACAATACCAAACACCAGCCAAAAGCAGCCTTGGCTGCGACACTTTCAACATGGAACGTTCTGCATCTCATGCATGTAAACTGCTTGCTACGTGCAGCCGAAGGTCAGCAGAAACACCCGCATGCCTTGAATATTTGAATTTGCTCAATGCCCATCTTTGCACCTGAGAATCCGATTTCAGGCGGCAGAGGTAGGTTGAATATGTGTTGCACACCATCAGGAAACCATTCTGAGGAGGATGGCGGAGGATGTCTGCGAACCTTTTTCTCCATTGAGGCCTCTACATCCGTTACCTAAACTGCGGCATTCTGACAGGAACGAGCTGCAAGCCTCGTCCATGTTATGTGGATGAACATAGACATTGTGGATGGTGAGAAATGCACCCGCTTTCGCCGACAGCACCATACCAGACTCTATCAGACTTCCGCAGATGCACCCTCAAGCTTGTGGCTGCTCTAGGAAAATCGCAGTCGGCGATGTTGCACCAAACCTCTGTGCATTGTAATTTTCCCTCTGCAAAAAAGCCCGAGAGATAAAGGAACTCATAGGGTAATCGCCCTAACCTGGCATAACCACTGATGATGAACAAAGAGCTGCGCAGCTTGTTGTTGCCCAGGATTACAGAGCCTGCCAACCAACACGGCCCAAACGAAAAGCGAGGGCTTTAGTCCGTCGCAACAAAAACGAGTATAAATATTTACTTGAATATTTACTTGCACACATGTAACCATGTATACACACATGTATAAACTTGCAAGATATCGAATGTTTGCAATATTCTGTACTATCATATCATGAAATTCTCATATGTATATATACATATGGATTAAGAATAAGCATACTGAAATCGTATATGTATGCAACCAAGAGAATGCGTAATGTATAACCCGTGATATGCTATATTAATGTGCAAAAGCCGGACATAGGTACCAATGTGAAACATAGATACACGCCATGTAAAATCCAAAGCGTACTATGTTACGAACTATACATTATGTACCATCTTCACAGTAAGATAGAAACAGATATTATGCAGTACTGTATGAATCCGCCGAGGCCTTGGGCCGTAGGTGTATGGCACCTCTAGTTGCCTGACCACTTGCGCACCCTGGCCACTGTGTTGGCTGCACCACCCCCACCACCCCCACCCACCACCCCCACCCATGATGGCGGTACAGCTGCAGAGCTTCAGGGTGCCGTGGTTGCGGACTCCACATGCTCGCTCAGGGGGCTGCGTTCACGTCCAGTAGTGTTAAAGTTAAGAAAATGGACATATAAATAAATAAATAAATAAATATATATATATATATATATATATATACAAAATACATATATGCAAATGGAAGAGTCAAAGGCAGAATCAACCTCACTTGGAACCCTTTTGCTGTGCGTTTACCCAAAAGCCCACATCTGGGGACTTCACCGCACAGTCGCACGACCAAGTCCCGTAAGCCGTCTCACGCTTGCTTGGTCTGAGCCGATCGGCTGCGCATGGTCCATGTTGTTACACATGTAACCCCGGAAGATCAGGCTTCCCACATGTGATTGCAAAGGCGATTCCATGCAAAGTGCTGGCGTGCCCTGAAGCGTCGAGGCCGAACAACGCGGAACTCCACGAGCAAGCTGGTGGGTCGCCTTTGCAAGGCGATTTCGCAATGCCCGTTTACGGCGGATTCTGCACCAACTTCTCCACATGTGCTCCAGATCTGAGACTCTGGCCATTTATGCTGTCCTGCAGGACGGGAAGCGTCCACACTATTTGCAGAATCTGGCGACCCCTGTTTGCCGGGCCCAGGTTAATAAGGGGCAACTCTTGCCTTTACGACAGACCAGGAGCCCTTTCTGATGTCCAGGCAAAACCAAAAGTTTAGTCTGCCGCCCCGGCTTCAACATGCACCGAGTCGCAGTTGGGTCAGAATTTCTGGCATTGCTTCTGTTTTGCCCTGGCTGCGCAATGTCGGCCCTCGTTTCTCAGAACCAACCGGTTTGGACGAGTGCATGCGGGGCTGTTGTTTCGTGTGCTGTTGCAATTCTGTTCTGGCCGGAGTCGAAGGCGTTCGGTGGCCCTGGGCGATTGAGGAGTCACAAGAGAAAAGCAGCCTTCCTGAGGACCTGAGACATGGGGGCGGAGATGTGTTCTGAAATCGTGCGTGCTGAGCCCGAATGATCCCTTTGACCTCGAATGTGTGTGCGCGCTGGTCGAGCTTGGCAGAGGTTTTGTCACATTGCTGGTCATAGGAGCAGGCTCGTTTAAACTTGGCGGGAAGCCAGTCCTTTGCACGCAGAAGGCGCTCAAACGTGACCACTTCCTTGGCGGAGCAGCTTGGCAGGTGGACAAGGAGGCTTGCGCTGGAGCCCTCCTTTGCCCCGTGCAAAGGCCAGTATGGCGTCCCGGAGGCAAGCCTCCGATGGTTCGTCTCTCCAGTCGACTCCAGACTAGCTGCATGTGTTGAACACAGCATTGACCGACTGAACCTTTGCTCCAATACGCTCCAATGCTACTGCTACTGGTCTCAGTCATTATAATTGAATCTGAACCCTTTCTGATCCGCAAGCTCTGACATTCTGAAGCTTCCAGCGGAGAATACCTGGGGATCGGGACCTGCAAGGCCTTCACAGCGACTTCGGATGCCTCACGAGGAAGTGCGAGAGTTCAAGGACAAAGGTATCGCTGCAGCTGTGGACACACCATGACACAGCGTTATCTGGCACAAACCGCTTCGGCGATCTCAGGCTCATGCCAGATCAGATGGTGAATCTTGCTGGTCCTTGCAGCGCTGGGAGCATTGGGAGCATTGGGAGCAGTGCGGAGGGTTGGTTGGCCCGAGAGATCAGCAAACCCTCGCCGCCCTCGGGCAACAATTCCGAATGACGCAACGCAGAATGCAAAAAGCAGCGGACTTTCTGCATTTTCTCCCTCGTTTCGTTTAGCAGGCTATTCACGGTCCTCCGGCTAGCAAAGCAATCCTTGACACCCAACATCAAACAGCTTCTGGAAGCCTCTGCTCTGCATACTACTTTCCACGGGTGCGTTTCGCGCTTAGGGTTTGAATCACGACTCGACACAACCTTCTGCGAGGCGTCCAAGTGCTGTCGTCACAATGGCTGCAAGGTTGCTGTTCAAACCGTAGCCGCTGCCTGCAGAACAGCACCCCTCTACGAGTAGAACAATCGTCTGTGCACGAAATCAGGGCGCAGTTCGCTTTAGGGATATCTCCGGTGCCCATGTGCTTTGTGAGACCTGGTAACACACACGCGAGACGCATCACTTCGCAGAATGGTTTGGCCAGTGCGAAGGTGCGAGCTGTACAGTCTCGAGGCTTTGTCCAGGCACAGGGCCTCAACTTATTTGGCGCCCTTGCTCGCCAAAAAGTCTGCGTACTGCACGTCGTACAGGGTGGTGTGCTCGTGGAATTCCTGTCTCAGGTGATTCAGACTGACAAAACTTCCTGTCGTCAATCCAAGCAGTACAGTGCAGCCTCAGTGGATGCAAAGTGTTACAGAAGAAGGGCGTCCAAATTTCAACATGAAGGATCACATGAAGTGCACTATCTTCATCATCACTATACTCAATCCTCTGGCCACCGGCTGATTTGCCTGCAGAAGCTCTCGCACAAAAGGGGCTGGAACGGATGGACCGAGAGACAGCTGCCTTCGAACCTCGCGTCATGTCCGATTGCCGTCCCATTGTCCCCACGTGTTGATATTGTTGATGCACTTTGCAACTTGCCTTGTCCAGCAATCGCTGATGCTCCTTGGCATGGCTCTTCTTTGCCGACAACTTCTCCTGCAGTTGTCGAGTTGCGCGAAGTCGCACTGCAGTGGCATTAGCCGGCTTCCCGGCTCCGGATTTCAACGCCGCGCTCTGAGTTCCGCGCGTTGGCATGAACTCCAAACCCATGCTCCTCAAAAAGAGCTTCCTGCAAGTCGCAAAGCTTAAAGGGTTCGTAGACTCTCTAGAAACACAGGTGAAGTCGGTAATTTGCTTTAGTTCCATTTTCTCACTCCTCGTGAGCGAAATGGTCGGAAAGACAATCTAGAACTTCCTGACAAAGCAGGATTTGTACGCGTGCTCATCCTGTGTAGCTGGCGCCATTCAACGTTTCGGTCTGCAGGCCAGCAGGCCAACTGCAGAAAGCTGAAAGGCCTTCAGCACTTCTCGTGACCTGACACATTCAAGACGCATGCCCACTGACATAGTGAGTCTCATGGGCGGTGGGGCTGACATTCGATGAGAGACGTTCTAGCAATTCCCACATTCCGCCTGCGCTCATCCCAGCGAATTCAGAGCTGTTGCCAAGAATTGATGTATCGGACTGCTTTCCCTGTTGCTTCTTCGCGGCTTTTTGGCGAGTTTTGGGGGTGCTGCCTCGTCTCGACAAGGCGCCGCAAGGCTGTTGCACACTCCTCGTGCTCAGCATCCATGGATGCCACCTCCCAGCCCAAGCTTGATTTAGCGCGCAGAACCAGCGGATCCTTCATGCGCGGCCTTCACGCTAGCAAGGTCGAGAGCTTGGCTGACAAACGCCGGATCGATCTTGCACCTAAGCTGGACTCGGCCAAAACCGGTACAGTACCATGCAATCAACCCCTCAGCATGCAACTTCACACTCAGTGCCCGACTCGGCCTTCTCACAAGTGCTGGGATCACACGAGGTTCCTGCATGTGTCAATCGTAAGTTGGTGTCATTGTCAGCCTAGATTCAGACGGGCTGCACCTGAGGAGCTGTAGCCAACTTCACATCCCATTCCCGGCTTGCATTTACCTCCGTTGCAGCTGCCACCACCCTCTGCCTGAAGCACAGCTGGGAAGAGCGTGGGAATGACCTAAATTTCAAACTAGCGTTAGACATGACAGGACCTCTTTGCAGTCTCCATTGGCACATGGGCTAGCGCAAAGACCTGATCGTCAGTCCAGTTCCGACCCTTGGCAAAAGACTCACCTGTGCTTCTGCAGTCCCATCGCCTTGGCCACAGCTGCCTTGACCGCAGCTGCCTTGGCCGCAGCTGCCTTGGCCGCAGCTGCCTTGGCCGCAGCTACCCTGCATGCTCTGCTCCTCGTCCATGGGCCCCAAGCGCCGTACCTGAAGTTGAGCTATGCTGAGCGCATTGAACCGGACAACTCAGTCAGGACCGGACCGAGGAAGAAGGCAAGGAAACCATCTTTCCTTGCAGCGGTCCGTCCTTGGCACAAAGAGGGCGTGCCGAGGTCCTTCAACTTCGTAGAAAAACTTCTACTATGAGTTGCTACGATGGTACTTCGTGGGTCGTCAGACTGAAGGGGCAATCCTGACGATGAACGCACAGTTTGAGTCATGATGCCGCGCTTGTATGTGTCCACTGCATGGGACTCAAACGTTGCTCACACGCCATGCAAACCCTACACCCGTACTGCCCCAGACACCGCATCGCCACCACCCAGGTTCCACTCAGAAGTCTTTTGCCCAGATGCGGCTTAGAGGCCACCAACGCACAAGCTCAGGCACGTTCAGACTCCGTCAGATTAGTAAGAGGCGCTGCATTTTCACTGGGTGCTCTTCATCCGGGTGCTCTTCATCCGGGTGCGGTTCGTTTCCTGGATCTGTGAAAAGCTTTACTGGGCCCATCCGGACCCACATGGAAGCCGCTGCCATTAGGGTAGCCAGGAGTTGGCATTGTGGGCTTCGCGTCACGCTTTCGTACCACTTTCGCCCAGAAAGGAATTCGCATGCGTGGCACATTCTGGTTCCGAATGCTTGTCCATGCCCGCTACAGACGCGTGTCGACAATAAGCGGGTTGCAGAGAAAGGGCAACGCATGTGTACTGGCGGTTCCAGTACGCCCTATCGTTAGGGTGCCCAAACAGGGCCGTCATCATTTGAAGAACAGTCGGAGACAACCTGTCCCATGCGGCCCGGGCTTCTACGGGCTTCTGGAAGCGGATTGAAGGTCACTGGGATTCCCTGAATACTGATGCGGGGGAGCTGAGAAGACAAAACCCATACCGAATCCAGCAAAGAAGGCTCATTACAACGGCGTAGGCCTTACGTGCGACTAGTGCTGCAAGCTGGTTGAGGCTTGAGTGGGTTTGGAGTCGAAGGCCAAGTGTCAAGGTTTTGGGTTTCTGAAGCTCTAGGGTTTAAGGATGCAAAAGGATCCAATTATGTACAGTTGGTACTTAGCGAGAAGCTGGTACAAGAATGCCTGCTCATACTTGTGACCTATAATCTGTTTGGGAGTTTCGGCCTTCGGTTGGGTTCCAGGCTCGAAGTCAGCACTTCAGATTTCACTTGGCGTCTAAACTCTGCTGTAGGGCGAAGCTCTGCTAACAGTTTTCAGACCCATCATCTCCTCCCGCAACCCTGCGCCGAATGACTAAGACCGACACCATGAAGCCCACGTCAACCTGCTTGGGAGGCATGAGGGCATGAGATGGCATATGAGGGCATGAGACACGTACCAAGGTGAGCAGCTTCCAGCCTTGTCATCCTGGGCCCGAACGCAAATTCCCCTGCCAGTATCTGAGTTGCATTGCTGTTCCAGAACTCTGGCGGCAAGGGACGGAAAGTGACGTGGCGTATCCGTCCTGTAGCCTTGAAGTTTCTCCATGCCCTCTGGTGCTTTGCCCACCTCCACTTCTTCGCCCGGACCTGAGCTTGGTAAACTGATGCTCACAGGCTTCGAAATAGAAGTGATACGTGACGCGGCGCATGGGCCGTGGAGGCCTTCACTCCGATCAAGAACACACAAATCAGGCGATGACAAATCGGATTCAACTAGCAGCCTTCCTTACCTGCTATGACACAGACCGACTTTCCTGTTCAGAGAGCTGGCAGCTGGTTTTTCAAGTACATGCAGTATCTTCCTTTGTGACGGCAGGCTTGCCTCGGAACCTAGCTCTGGGCCCTTTGGATGGATCGGTCATGTTTGCCAGGGCCACGCCACCCCCCCCCCCCCGGCCAGCCGCCTCGAACAACAAGTGAAAATGCTCCGTGGTGGTTGCGTGGTCGTTTTTGAAGGCCCACTTTGTTGACCTTCGTTGGAGTGCTTTCGGTGCCTTCAGGGGCACAGTCTCAGAACAGCCCGGAACGGCGCACAATGGACTTGATAAAGGTGCCAAGGCGAGTTTGACAGGATCGGCACTTCGCCTGACCATAATAAGGGCCCTCCTGCTGGCACACACGGATGCAAGAGCCTTCTCATATCTCTGACGTGTCTCAGGTCACCACAAACGTCTGGCAACGGCAAACCTTTGCACACGGCATTCAGCAAGGCCTGGCTGTCGGGATACCCACATGACAGAAGTAAGGAGTATGTAAAACGGGCGGTGCAAGCTTGTGCCGAACGAGAAAGCAAGCGAGCGCCAGTTGCACCTCCACATGTTGGAATGCGAGCGCGCGAACCTGTCCAGCTGCCACACATCTACGGCCGCCAAACATGTGAGTGCAGCTAAATACCTCTGCAGGCCTGCATGAAGGGGGCAGTTCCTTCAGAAATGACTTTGTGCCTCAGAATGAACCATGGACATGCACAGGTGATCTGCAATGAGAGCACGACCTTTCACCTTAGGAAGACACTCCTTGTCCAAGACAATGAAGCCCTGGCAGCCCAGTTGCCCGTACCTGCCACACAACTTCTCACAGTCGCATGCATCCGATCTGCCACAAGCAACGTCTTCAAGTCGGGCTACACGCTTCTCTGGGTCACGAGGGCATATCGCGAGGTGAGTCCACAAAGCCATTGACCTCTTCTGTGGTGTTCAGCCGACTTAAGTCTGTATCGCTGCTACAGTAGGACGGCGGACGGCGAGGCTCTGGCACAGTGCGTCAGCTTCATCTGAGTACTCATCTCCTCCGCATGCTTTGATGCTTCGCCCCTGGTGGCCAAAACCCTGCCATAATCCTGCCTTGCACAAGCCGTATGCAGAGCGGTCGCCCAGCACCTCGCAAGACCAAGCGGCTGTGTGGCGAACCCCCCGGTTGTGGCAACCACCCGTCTGATAAAGACCTCTGTAACGCCCATCTTCTTACAAACCTCCATCATGTGCGAGACAAGAGATGACCTAGACAGGGGGCCAAGTGCCCAAGTAGATATAACCTGCCTTTAGAAGCTCCGCTGAAATCCATTTGAACCCATAAGACTCAGACGACGGCTTCTCTTTCAGCTCAGTTTCCGGCACAAATGCAGAGGAAATTACAGTCAAAAATGCCCGCGGCCTCAGGGTATTCCAGAAACTTGGCAGCCTGCCCACAAAATACCCACGTCTGTAGGAAAATGGGGTGCTGGCAGCCCAGGAGTTCATCTGCTGCGCGCAGGGCCAACATCCACCTGCGTCTATGCATCTTGGCCTAAACACACATTAAGTGTACTCAGCGCTCTAATGCTCAATCAAGCCTCAGGAGGTGTAGAAGTGAAGAATGGTCGGCTTGCCTTTGTAGTCGCACCTTGTCGCCAAGCCAGCGTACCCTTCTCATCATTGGCACATCATTGTCTTCAATGCCGGTTCAACTGGCGAAGGCGTGCCGAACTCTGGTGCCAGGGGCCGTGCAGGGACACCTTCTTCTGAAGTGGCTTCGCCTTGCAGTCTTGGAGGCAACGGGCTTCATAGCTTTGTCTGGGCACTCTCCGTGGCAAGTCTCACGTCAACTGCGCCTCTGGGTAAGAGGAAACCAGCTCAAAAGACACCTGGCAGTCATGTCGCGAACGACAAACTGTCTCTGCAGGCTCGCCTGTCTTAGACCATATTGAGTCAAACTCCTACATGTCCGCTGTTCTCTTCGGGAACCTCTGGCGGACCAGAGGCAGCCATGGCCCGACGAGCCTGTCCAGATTGATATCAGATTGATACCAATCTCTACATGCAGGTAGCAGAAGGAAGCTCACTCTCCCAACAGCAATGTAGCTCTGATGCCTGCGCTGAGTCCGCAAGCCTCCGTGGACCTCATGTGTGGTGGAATGAACCGTCATGACTTGTGAACTTGCTATAAGTGTTGCCATCCAGTGGCAAATGGCTGAGAAATGGTTCCCCATGCGCTTGCGAATTCTCAGAGCCAACATTTATCGAGCAAAGCTAGGCAGAGGCGCTTTCTGGATTGTGGAACATGTCAAGAGCGACGTGTGGAATCATTCTACCACAGCATGAATAGGAGCATATCAGAAGCACGGCATCTGATTCCTCGTTCATCGCCCGTGAAAGAAGACGTTTCTTGGCCTGGCAAAGTCGACTTCGATGCTTTCAAGAATGGCCCTCATGCCATGGTCTGATCCTTGATGTTCCATGCTACGAGTACTGTGGGCGTTGGCGAGCAGAAGCCTGCATTCTGCAGTTCTAAAATTGTGCCACCTCCTCGAGTCGCATGGAATCCTTCTTGTCGGTGGCTTTGGAACTGCCGAGACACCAGCAAAAATTGCCAAGTGCCCATCATTCAATCGCTGTTTGTCATTATAATCATTATGGGTCATTGTGCAATGCGCCCGAACCTGGCGACTCCTTGAAGCTTCGGCACCAGGAGCTGCAGCAGGTGCGGCCTAGGCCATGTTCTTAGTTCCTAATGCACTGATACAAGCTTTGCAAAACCTTCATAAGAGGAACATGGTTTGAGGCTGTTTAAGGTTTAGGGTTCGTGAAAGGCTTGCTGAAGGCCCACAAGGACTTTTCATTTGCACTGATTTGTCGGCTTCTTCAGCGCCGTGGATTTGCTCCTGCCCTTCCATCAGCAATGCTCTCGCATGTTTCAGCCTCGATCTGGAAAAGGGGCAAGTTTACTCGAGTCATCTTCCAAATTCTTCGTAGCCCATGTCATGAGCGCACTTTGCACAGAGGCGACAGTTTTCTCGGGGACGGTCGCTGGGGTCGCTGGGGTCGCTGGCCTGACACAGAGCTGGCGCGTAAGCCTCCCGACTTCCGATGCGCCTCAACATCAATCCCAGAAGAGTCGGTGCCGAAGCGACTGAAGCGCTAGGGCGCGACCCCGCCGCATCGACTTGGACCAGATCGGCTGGAGCGGAGCCAGCAGAAGCTGCATCGGACCATAAGGAAGAAAGGGTCGAGCAGCTGATGGCACACTTCGTCAGCAAAAAGAGTTAGAGAAGCATCGGCAGTTCTTCTTACCTACCCGGACCAGCTGCGCCCCCCCTGACAAAACGGATCGAAAGGCCGATAAAGTTTAGGAGAACAGATGGTG